TTTAATTAATTTTTTTTTCCTTTCATTGGTTTAAATTGATGGTAATAAACATTTATAATAAATAGTAGGTATTACAGATTTAAAAAAAACGTATTAAACTGAGATTTTATCGCCTGTTTTTAATATTTGTAGTTATTATCGCCTGTTTTATGTATACCGGGTGTTCCTAAAAAGTGGCTCATCCCTATAACTTTTTTATTTATTTCAAATAAAAAGACGAAATTTGGACATAAATCCGCATTGATGTATTCAATTAGTTTCGGTCACTTCTTGTTTCAGCGGAAATTACTATAACTTTTGATTTTTAAATGATATTCTCGGTATTTTTTTACTTTATTTGATAGAAAACGACATTTTTTTTAATTGAATGACATATCATATGTCAACTTTTGACATTTTCAAATAAAAAAATGTATTTTAACTTTCAATCTAGACAGACATTTGACTCGAAATTCGAAGTATGTGGTACCAAATTATTCGTAAAAAATGATTTTCCAAATATACTAATGAGCCAACTATACCCTCCTTCCATTTGAAAAAATTGAGTATGATTAAAAATACGATTTCGGTATCTTTTAAAACATGTTTCTTTTTCTATTTCAGAAAAAAAAATTCAGAATCAAATAAAGTAAAAAACTTCAGAGGGTACCATTTAAAAATCAAAAATAGTAATAGTTTCCGGTGAAACAGGAAGTGGTTGAAAGTAGATTGAATACGTCAATCAATCCTTATTTATGTCTTATCCTAACATACCAAATTTCGTTTTTTTTTTATCAGAAAAAAATAAAAGAGTTGTAGAAGAGGTGAGCCACTTTCGAGAAACACCCGGTATATAATTGAAGAGTACGGAAAAAACGATGAAAGTCAATTTTTTGCTAATTTGATTTTAATGCATCATATCTTTCGTCTTAAAAAAGCTACACCCTTTAGTACCTAAATAAACGGGAATATCGATAACGGTCACAAAGAAAGAGGCATTTAAAAATGGGAAAACCTATAAAAGTCCATACGTAATTTGAATTAAAAAGCATTGAACAATTATTATTGAACAAGCATAAACTTTTATCGTTTTTCCCTTGTGCTCTTCAATTATTATAACATTCTGTAAAAATATCAGTAGGCTAATTTAATAGGATTTAATAAAATTATTTGTTTCAGATAAATCACTGTCCATCAATGCACAAAGAAATGTACTATAGAGGTAAGGAAGAATGTAGAATGTAGGAGGGAATTAATCACCGCGACCTTACAGATCTATTGTGTGTTCCCCTTTCTTGAGTTATAACGAGTTATAACTCATCATACAGTCTCAGGGCTTTAACAAAAGCCAGTATCTGAGACGGCTTCACAGAAGCCAGCTCTCCATCCTCGACATCAGCCATACCAAAGTTCATGGCACGAATGGTCTTCGTCTCGGCGCACTCAGTGATAAGGTGTTCTTGTGTTTCCCCATTTTCCCCAGAGAATCTGCATTCACCGTTGTTTCTCAGCTTCAGCCTACTGAGGTGTTCGTTGAGGAGACAGTGTCCTGTTAGAAACCCCATGACAATCCGAAGATTGTTTTTACTTAAATCAAGGAAAAAAATATTTTTCTCGGTCGTAAGTTCTGAGGAACTTTTTCGAGTGTCTTAGACACCTATTCCAAGTTACGGATGGAGTCTTCCAGATTCTTCAGTTCCGCTTTCAGTTGGTTCCCGTTTAGAAAACAGAACGGTTCTGGTCCAGTTAGTGGAGTATTCGCTCCTTTTCTAGCTAGATCATTTGCTTTCTCATTGCCTTCTATCTCTTGGTGAGCAGTCACCCAGAGTAGGAGGACTTTATTTTCTTTGCCTAATTTGTTGAGCTTCTCTAGGCATTCTTTGATCAACTTCGAATTGATGGTTACTGATTTGATCGCGTTTGGCTATCGGATAGGATGGCAATTTCCTGTTTTCGATAGTTCCTATCTAAGATAAATTGTACGCATCTTTCGATGACGTAAATTTCTGCCTGAAGGATACTGGGGTAGGTGCCCATTGGTTCGGAGTATTTAGTTTTCGGCCCAAATACTCCTATCCCTGTCCCTGCTTTGGTTTTGGAAGCATCAGTATACCACGTTATGGTATGGTCTTTTACATGCTGAGTAAGCGTTTCTTCCTTCCAATGTAATAAAATGTTTTTACTCAATACTACAGTGAGGTGTTTCTCAAAGTTGTAAATTCTTGGTATGTCATCCACTGGGAGTTGGAGAAGTGGAATTTTCTTTTTGAGGGTGTTCCAAGCCGCTGACCTGAAAATTCTCCCAGTACTGTTTTCGTCAATGACCATTCTAATCATTGTCGCATTGGCATAACTACCGACGACAATGTGCAGTGGTGTTAGGTCTAGAATGACCTCCATTGCTGCTTTTGGACATGTTCTCTTGGCACCTGTGATGCAGATACATGCCAGTCTCTGTAATTTCCACAGGTTTTGCCTTGCTGTACGTTGCTCTAGTTTTGTGTACCAAGCAACTGCTCCATAGGTAATCTTGGATCTTACTATCATGGTATACATCCAGCGCAAAATGTTAGGGGTGCAGCCCCACCTGTTTCCCGCCAGTCTTCTGCATATCATGAGAGCCTTTGTGGCTTTGCTTGTAATGTTCTCAATATGCCTGTTCCAAAGATGTTAACTTTCTAGGGTTATTCCCAGATATTTCACTTCCTGGTGATGGCAATATTTCCTTTCCATCTAAATGAATTCTTCTCAAATCATTCAAGTAAGGAAACTTTCAGATAACCTTAAATACACTAAGTAACATTGAAACGGCAACATTTATGTAATGTTGACCACCACTAAGTAGTTGCAAAAATTCAACAGCAAAAATATGACATTAATCAAAATTAATATCTGCGTATTATCTATAAAAAAATGAAATAGAAATTATATTACCATAGAAACGCGTTTTGAAATTTAGGATTGTTTAAAAAAAAATTCAATCACATGTTCATGTTTTTCTAATTTTCTCTAAAACGGTAATAGAAATTTGGAACATTGTAAACGAGATTAACAATTTTAGGACATGCAAACATTTTTATGAAGAATGCATTTTTCTCAAAATATCAATAATAAAAAAACTTGTAAAGACAATCCGAGGACACTGAAACAAAAAAAAACAATCTGATACAAATTCTATGGCCAAAAATGAAATCGTAAAAATAGTCCAAGAAAATAAGCCTTCAAATACGAAGTTTTGGTAAAAAAAATTAATTGAACTTTTTTTTCTAGTTCTTACCATTTCTCCGAAATTTCGAAAAAAATAATTTTATTTATTTATTTCACTCTTTCTCGAATTTAAAAAAAATCTTTCACAATTTGTCCAAAGTAACATTATCAAAAATTCAAGTTTTTCCCAAAACTTCGTATTTAAAGGCCTATTTTCTTGGACTAAAAAATATCAAAACCAAACTTCCAGCAATCCAGCAATGTAATTTAGATTCCTAACTTATACTCACCTAACTTTCTCCAATATCCTTAAACTCGAACGAATGATACGTTAAAGGGATCAAAGCTTTTTTTGTTCAAATAATTTCCCTTTTAGTCGATTCCAACGCAATTAACTATTTGTGCTAAAGGGAACAAACAAAATTAAAAAAGTTCTGAGAAATTCAGAACAAATGAGACATCAAACAAACATTTGTTTTTCTAAATAAAACACACATAAACAGCCCTAAAATGAAATAATAATTAATATTTTCTTAATGTCTATTGAAAACAACAAAGCTTGATTTTCATGCATCCATTATCCGACGATACGATGATACGATACTAATTTTATTGCTTGAATTTCAAGTGTTGTGTTCATTTCCATAACGATTTCGCTGTTTTACCTATAGTCTAGAGCTAGCAACGTTTTCAAGAGAGAATTTTAAGAAAGCTGATTCTTTAATATATCTTGTGCTATGCTCTCCTGAACACAGGTGCGGACTATCTGGCTGCCGGTAGACGTTGCGTTCACTACTGCGCATCATATCTGTTTTCAACACCTGTTCACTACTGCGCATCACAAATTTTCCCTGTATTTCAGGAACTAAGGAGGCTAGAACAAATAATATATGTGTAACATATTTAGTTTCATAAAAAAGTAGCAAAGTAATGTGAAATTCGTATCATTGTCATAATTCAAATCATTGACTCATAAACGAGAAAGCCTATAAACCACACGAAAATGGAATATCCTGTACAGGGTGGGTCAAATTCGACGCTTTTAAATGGAAAGATCCTTTTCTATAGGAGATAGACAAAAACTAATATCAGTGTCTGGAGCTCAATTTTCATTAAAAACATGATGGTGAAAACTGCACATCAATATATGATACCGTTTCGGAGTTACGGGGTGTTTTTCATAAAATGTGTATTTTTAACAAATAATTTGTCAAAAAAAAACGTGCGTTATCGTACGATCTTTCTCCGTTGACGGGCTGGAGTAAAAAATTTGCGGATGAAAAGTGGCGCGAAAACGCTAAGACCAATCAGAGCGGATGTTGAGAATCAAACTTTACTTATCTATATTATATTCCATAGATCGTTAAAAATAAGTAATGGCTCGCCGAGTGAAGCAGGTGAAGCAGAGTGTCGCCGTAAATATCGTATATCGTAATACCTAGGAAAAAATCTCGCAATTGTTATAAAAAAATTCAATCATTTTATGTTAATGAAAATGACATTTTGGAAATAAAAACATAAATTTGGAAAATTGTAAAGGGGTTTAGTCATTTTAAAACAATCAAAAACTTTTTGGAGGATGCATTTTTGCCAAAATGTTAATAAAAAAGGTTTCTCTCGAACAAAATTATTTTTATATTTCGTTTTCTCTGTTTCAGCTAACAAATGGCCACAGAACATCAAGGACCACAATCCGTTCCACAGCCTGCAGTCTTTACATTTAGGATAGAACATAAACAAATTGGATTTGTAAAAATAGACTCAATCGATGATCAGTACGATTCAGCATTTTATAAACCTGTCAGCTAAGAAGGGATTCTAAATCATACTATTGTTACCGATGCCGTGCATTCTTCAATTAGAATACTTTTTAAGAATACTAACTTGTTACATCAACGAAACTACTATACAGGGAAAGATACAACATTTTTTATGGATATATGTGGAGTGGCAATATGCTTAATTTAATAATATTTTGAAATGTACAGGATGTGTCAGAACTAAGATACATACCAAAGTTACATTTTTTCTTATGGATCACCCGGTATTTTATTTCATTTTTGGATTCTTGAACATAAAATAAGGCATTTATTATAAAGGTTTAATATGTTTAAAAGCTTTGGGTTTTGAGATATTTAAAGATATTTAAACCACGCATGCTATAATAAAAAAGTTTGAAAACACTCTGTACATTGCTTTTCAGAATTAATTCCTGTTCTGACTTTTTAGCCAGAGAAATAAACTTTACTAAAAAATTTGATTGCTTCCTTAAATGTATACAGGGCTATCAAGAATTACTGGTCTATTTTAAATATTTATTTTTCATAAAAACTTCGTTATTTCAAATACACACTCGCTACAATTAAATAGAAGTAAACTGTTATAAATTTAAAGTCCATAAACTAATGTCGATTTTGAAAATAGGTAACTAACTGTCGCTAGAAAATTGCAATGGCGACACAAGCCATCTAGGTTGCCATTTTATTGAAAAATCGCTTGGTATTCAAAATCTGAGCCAGATAGGTATAGGAAACCCTAATAGAGGTATAGGAAACCCTAAAAGAGCATTTAAATCTGCTTCAAATTATTTTCTAAAATACATAATGTTGCTTTTGAAATAACGAAGTTTTTATGCAAAATAAATATTTAAAATAGACCCAGCAATTTTTGATACCCCTGTATACATTTAAGGAAGCAATCAAATTTTTTAGGAGAGGAAGTTTATTTCTCTCTGACTTAAAAGTCAGCACAAGAATTAATTCTGAAAAGTAATGTACAGGGGGATGACAAACTTTTTTATTATAGCATGCATATACAGGGTTGTTCACCACGAGTATTGTAGCTAAACGATTAGATTTTTACAAATTGTAAGTTTTGGGTTCGTTGAAGGACTCTTAGAGCTACAATTTAAAAATATTTTTACAAGATACAGAGTGTCCCAAATAAATAAAAAATATCAAAGTTGTATTTTTTTAAATGGAACATCCTGTATATTATTGCATTTTTAGTTTCTACGATTAAAAATAAAGGTAAATTTGATTAAGGTTTATTACACTTAAACCTTACCGTTTTGAAATATTTTAATTTTACGAAATTGCAGTATAAATTTTAAGGCTTCATTTCTCCGAGGATATCAAAGTTTTTTAATGCTAATTTACTGAAGTTTATTTATTGATCAGTTATTGTGTTGCAATAATAAAAATTATACTACCTTATACAGAGTGTCTAAAAATTTATTTTAAATAAATTACTAGCTTTAAACGGCAATAACTTATTTACTTTAAATAGAACACCCTGTATATTTTATGAGAATCAAATGCACAATTTAATTTGTCTATCAAATTGTATTATACCATTTCTTACCTATACCTATACCTTATGTTTTCATTAGAAAATGCATTTTCTTATAATTTAGACCTCATTTATCAATATACCCATGGAAGATTGACATTTTAGATTGTTTTTATAACAACAAATGTACAAAATGTACAGACTAGGAATATTATCGTTTTTACTAAAACGATAATATTACTAGCCCATTTGTATGCTAAAAGAAAACTATTTAAATCTTTATAAAAGAGTATACCATTAATTAAATATACCACCAGTATTTCCGTCCAAATACTAATTAACTACATACTTAATTGTGTTCTTTAATAAATTATTCTAAATAAATGTGGATTTGAATCAGAAATCAATATAATAATAAGTTATGAAAATGAACGTCTCTGTTGTTATAAATAAGCATTAAATATAATTTTTAAGGTGTTACTTTTTACCACACTGTCTAATACACATACATAATTCAGTTTTTTTAGTATTTGGAGCAATTATTATTAATCAACGCAAACAGTCAATTAATGTAGTTTGAATACTGAAATCATATTAATTGGTCCTCTTTAACAAATATTTAAACAGTTTTTTTTTTAATGAAATAAACGAACTATATCGACAATATTAGTATCTGTACTCTTTAAAAATTTGGTACATCTTTAAAAATGATCTAAAATGTCAGTATTGCCATGGTATATTGATAAATGAGTTCTAAATTACAAGAAAATGCATTTTCTACGGAAACTTGAAGAGGTTGGTAAAAATGGTAAAAATACAATTTGATAGACAATTAAATTGTGCATCTGATTCGCATAAAATATACAGGGTGTTCCATTTAAATTAAACAAGTTATTGCTTAAAAGCTAGTAATTATTTAAAATAATTTTTAGACACTCTGTATATGCTAGTAAAAGTTTTTATTATTGCAATACAATAACTGATCAATAAATAAATTTCAGTAAATATTTAGTATTAAAAAACTTTGATACCCTCGGAGAAATGAAGCCTTTAAAATTTATACTGCAATTTCACTAAAATTGAAGATATTCCAAAACGGTAAGGTTTAAGTGTAATAAACAATCATCAAATTCACACCTTTGTTTTAATCGTAGAAACAAAAATGTAATAATATATAGGGTGTTCCATTTAAAAAATACAACTTTGATATTTTACTTATTTGGGACACTCTGTATCTTGTAAAATATTTTTAAATTGTAGCTCTAATAGTCCTTCAACGAACCCAAAACTTACAATTTGTAAAAATCTAATCGTTTAGCTACAATACTCCGTCGTATGTGGTGAACAACCCTGTATAAATATCTTTAAATATCTAAAAAATCAAAGCTTTTAAACATGTTTAAACCCTTGTAATAAATGTCTTATTTTATGTTCAAGAATCCAAAAATGAAATAAAATACATGGTGTGTGTGATCCAGGAGAAAAAATATAACTTTGGTATAGATCTTAGTTCTGACGCACTCTGTACATTTCAAAATGATTTTAAATTATGTACATTGTTTTCCCACATATACCCATAAAATATTTTTTGTCATACGCTCCCAAAAACAGCTATTTTACGGACTCATTTCAGTCCGTAAAATGTTTTTTTCGGCCTAGGCCGTAAAGGTCGTCATGGCAACCCTTTATGGACTAAAATGTCTAAATTCGTTATTTGGTTGTTTTATTTTGTCATTCGAAATTTGTCACAAAATCACATAAAATTATACATATATTTATAATTAAATTATTAAATACTAACAATATCAAAAAAGCTAAGTTATTTGTTTAAAGTAAGTACCTAGGTACCTATTTAAAAGAGGCTTTTTAAATTAAAATATTCTTAAATTACAGTCACAAACATTCAAACCATCGTCAATTTGGTCGAAATATTCCATGCTGAGAGCAGTGTTAAAGTGTTAAAGAAGATATTTATATTGACAAATTTCCAAAACTTATTGCTTTTTTGAAGAGGAATTCGGTTGGTTACGAGCCTAAAAAGTCTAAGGTTTTGTCCATAAAAGAGATCGGTGATTTTTTGGCCACGGCTAGTGATGAAACTTATTTACTTACTAAGGTAAGTTTGCGATAATGATTTTTAAAATATATAGATGGTTTCTTATTCCATTGTATTTGATTTTTAAATTATTAAATACTAACAATATCAAAAGCTAAGTTATTTGGAAAAATAAAAATGAAATGAACAATTTTGTGCATTTTGAAAACTTGCATCTGCAATCGAAACGACTCCTCCATTGGCAGGTAAATTTACTTTCTGATGAGGTGGAGTAAATGCGAACGATGATGTACTTGGTAATACATCCGTGGAAGTGGTCGCGATTTTCTTTTCCCCCATTAGCAGTTTGCAAACTTTCTTCTTTTTCTCAATAGATTCTTCTATGTAACCTTCGGCCACTGTGGACGACCTAAATAATTATTGTTGTTTAGAACAAGATCGGAAAATATTAAAATTTTTACCTCCAACCTCCTAGGCGTTTCAGCGATGTAAAATCCACATCTGCATCTGCAGCAAGAGTAGCAGAACTACGTCGGAAACAATGACCTGTATATTCGTTTGGGTTCGACAACTTTAAAAATGCTGCTACAATCGATGGCATCTTCCCAAATGAATGAATGCCGACTCGTTGCACGGTGCATTTTCCTTTACGATAAGAGATGAAGACATAATCATGTGGTACATTTTTTGGCCTAAGACAAGCATATTTTCTATACAACTCAACTGGATTGACAACGTTCCCTTCGTTCACCACCGGAAACACTCTTTTGATATTAGTTTTTGTATCCGCAAGGGTAACTAAAAGGCAGCTGTTGTCTTTTTCTATGATGTCTTGCACTCGTAGAGAGTACAATTCTTCTCTTCTACATGCTCACAAAGGCCAATGACAAGAGCTACCTAAAAATCAAATACAATGGAATAAGAAACCATCTATATATTTTAAAAATCATTATCGCAAACTTACCTTAGTAAGTAAATAAGTTTCATCACTAGCCGTGGCCAAAAAATCACCGATCTCTTTTATGGACAAACCTTAGACTTTTTAGGCTCGTAACCAACCGAATTCCTCTTCAAAAAGCAATAAGTTTTGGAAATTTGTCAATATAAATATCTTCTTTAACACTTAACACTGCTCTCAGCATGGAATATTTCGACCAAATTGACGATGGTTTGAATGTTTGTGACTGTAATTTAAGAATATTTTAATTTAAAAGCCTCTTTTAAATAGGTACCTAGGTACTTACTTTTCGTGGAAATAATTTAGCAATACATCTTCATTTACAACGAATACGCCATTTTTGTCTTTCCATTCATTAAAAACATCATATATTCTTTCTGGTAAATGGCACGAGACTTCACAGGAAGTAAATCCAACACGATTTCTTTGGCCTTATTAGCAATATATGTTCGGGATTTTGGAACATTTTAAAATTGTTGATGAATTTGTGTGATTTTGTGACAAATTTCGAATGACATGTCAAAATGCGATGAAATAAACAAACTCGTTACTAAGATATGAATTTATAAGCCAACTTTTCAAACATTATAATTTCAAATATGGAAAATTTGCAAATATGCGTTCTAAAAAACTGTAAAAGCGTATGACAAAAATAGTGTATGTAACACGTACCTAAATTATGTTTTTAGGACTCATCTACTATTTCGGACTCGGCTAAC